CAAATTCTTAAAAAGTAAAATGGAAAAAGATGTTAAGACACTATTCTGGCAGTCACTATCAATCAGTGTTCCACGGTGAACCCACAGAACCCGGATTTCCCCGAAATCACCGGCTTCCACACTTCACGCTGCTACTGACACCAAAAACGATCCGCCTTTCTTGATCTCCGACCTACACAGTCCTTAAGCTCCACTCTGGATGTCCTGACTTCTGTGACTCCCTGGCCCGTCCATACCCACCCGAGGTGGCCTTGCTTTACTGCGAATCACACAGCGCTTGCCGGCTCTTTGCGGTTGCAACAGTATCCTCATAGACTGCGCCCCGCCGGGTACACTCCTGAGTGCGGAGACCCCCCGCACTCCTCTTTGTAGACACGAGCGCACTGACTTTAAGCACAGTGACTGCTCGAAACGTAATTCCTGGTGCCCGAGAGAATCTAAACAACTAACAGGAGCAACCTGGGTCTGACGGTGGAGAAGTTAGCTTAGACCCACGACGGCTGCTGCACACATGTAAAATACGAACTGAAACTGCTCACCACAGCGCTCAGCGTGGGTACGGGGGTATGCCTGTCTGCTCAAGGCAGCAGGGCCAGTTTGGGTGGGCTTTGTAAAATTACCTATTTTACCCTATTTTTCACCTGTTTTCCTCACTGACGTTATATTTAACTAAAGTGCTAAGAAATCAGGGATTTATAAATTTCAGTGATTCCATATCAACATACCAAACAAATATTGGTTGTTCTGAAATGCATTCTTTGGATTGTAAAAGCAAGATTTTTGTTATTTAAAAAATTTGTGAAACACGTAAAATAGTAATACAAAATCTATAATGCACTACCCAAAGGAAATGACTATTAAGTTCATTCCTTACCAATATTTTTCTACACATACAAATTTAGGGTTTTTAAAAAATCCAGATTGATGCCACTTGAACATGTATTTTATTTCTTACATGATCATCTTCCTAAGATATTATGTATTTGTAGCCCTCATTATTTTAATGACTGAACAACATGTACTGTAATTTATTTATCATCACCTTACTCATTTTATAAGTCCTGAATTTTTCTGAGGTTAAATTCTCCCTATGTTTGGCATTAAATTACTGTAAAGAAATGAGTTACTTCTGTTATTAGGCGTTCCCGTGTGCTGAAATTTTAATGGCATATCTTCCTTTTTTGAAAGTGCTCGTGGGAGAAGTAAAATTTACCAACCCCTTTCCAAGAGGTAAAGAAAACTATGGAGACGAAGTCATTAAAAACGGGGGCAATGCTATCGGAGGGTGGGGGAGGCCCCAGACCACAGGCGGAGGCTAGCACAGAGTGGTGCCGGCTGACTCGCTCTGGGAGGGATACAGCTGGTAAGGGAAATCAGTTACATCTGAGGTTAGTTACTAGTTCTGAGCGTGAGCCTGAACGCTGAACAGTGACAACAAAGCACAACGGGAGGAGGGGGAGGAGCAGAATTGGCAGGCAGAGCTTTATCTGCATTTTTTCCTACATTCTCTATTTTCTCTCGATTTATGTAATTGTCATTCAATTGACAACACTCACTAGGAACAAAGTTTCTGTTACAGAAGGCTAACCGGAGCCAGGGAAGACTCGGAGATACTGCAGGCTCCCAAAGGTCTGATGGTAGCTTGGTGCCATGGCACTGTCTGGCTACCGTGTGCGCTCCCAGGCCAGCCCACGGGGGCCGCTGGGCAGCCACGTGGGTGAGTGCGCGTGTGGGACAAGAAGGGACGGGTGCTCTCTCCCCTGGGGAGAAGGAAAGAAGGCCGTGCCGAAGTGGGGAGAGGGAGGGGGGTCTGCACCTTGGAAAGTAGCTCCTCCTTCCTTTTCCTTCTGGGAAACGTAGTTTGTGGAAACAAAGTACGTCACTGCGATGGATTCTCTGATATTTTAACTATAATCAATTTTATCAGCTTCACAGGATGATGCTTATTTGAAGAAGTTTGGAAACATTTATAATGCCGCTGCAGTCCTACATCACATGGCTGGCTACTTACTGGCTGGTAAAACAGTAAATCTGAGCAGAGATAAGCTGCACATCCTGCCCCCAGTGAACGTGGGGTCTTACTTTCCCTGTGGTCACAGACTGTCGGTCTCCTCTCCCCTGTCCAGCAGGTTGGTCCTGCACTGCCCCTCCGCATATCATTAAAGTCAAGTCCATGCTATGAACCTAAAACGCGCTAAAAAAAGGCCTTAAGAAAAAAAAAAGAGTTTTGTTCTCCAGGCGAGAGGCTGCTGATGACAGCTCAGGCCTGGTCAAGACCTTGACTGCAGCCTTAAAGAGGACCTGGTCAAACTGTGCCCAGGGTCCAGACCTACACACACTGTGAGATAATCAATGTAGGTCCTTTAAAGACACTGAACTTGTGGTAGTATTGCTAAATAGTAATAGATAACTAAAAAAAGGAAAAAAAGGTAAGGTCATAGGAGAGCCTGCATTCTGCTTTATGACAGGGCATCACTGTCACAGAAACTCCTTTCAGATCCAGTCTAAAAGCTCGGTGTGAACTCCTGCCCAGTGTAACCCCAGAAGCGGACTTTCTCAGTCATTGATTCTCACGTATACGACATTCTGGCAGAATTCTGAGGACTTAGACTTGATAACCCCAGCACAATCACAGCTAAATCTCTAAAACATACTTGGGTTTAAACAGAACTGAGAAGGCATCGCTAGGACGCTGGCTCGAGTGGCGTGAGGGGAAGCCTCCAGAAGGTACGTAAGTTTACTGCATTTCATTCCAAGATTAGTCATTTTTTTTAAAGATTACAATTATAATTTCTGTAAATGAGATTTTGCCCTCCAGAAAAATACATGCTGGCAAAAATACCAGATTTGAATAAATTTTAAAGAGGCCAATTCTAAAAGCATCATTTATCAAACATACTAATACGGTGATGCATCTCCAGCCTCCACTTACAGATCCTGGATTGGGTGTCTTATTCCTTCTGTCCAGCATTACATTTAGCAGTCAAATTCAAGAAAACACAACACCTTGAACACATGTATTTACTTGCCCAAACTGTCCTCCCCTAGTGTTTGACTCCACGGGGCCAGGAGCCGGGAGTAGGCTGCACCTACTCCAGGATCCTGAGATGCTCCTTCTCAAATGCAAAGACACTTCACTCAAACCACAGTCTTTATTTTTTAGAGCCGTTTACCTAGTCACCATTTCTTTCTCTTTGTTTGAAGCATGTCCTCCAGAACAGAGAGGTCTGCTTGCTGCAGATAAGAAGTATAAACGATGGTTTTTGAAATACTGATCAATTAAAGGAAGAACGACCTGAAAGAAAGGAAAAGAAAACAGATCTACACAGTGGAATCTTCCGGGGGATGGGTGAGTGCCGAGTCTTTGCAACAGCAGAGTTCTGGCCACATGCAACAAGTCCCCAACAGCCACAGCCATGCCATCAGCTCCACTCCAGTCTGCCTGCCTCTCAAGTTCCACTCTGCAGTACGTGTGTGTGTGAGTATGGAAAACACACCTAATTTCCAATGGTTTAGAATTAGTCTCAATATTTTCTCAAAATGAAATGCCCTTAAATTGTCATCTAATGCAGTTTGGTCCCCAGTAGGTTTCAAAATAAGCAATGATGACCATGTACTGAGTTTCCACTACACGTGAGTGACTGACATGCAGCCATTGCACGTGTCTCAGCAACCACTCTGTATGGGAGGCGCCATCATCCCTGCTTTCTAGGCATGAAACTGAGATGTAAAAAGCAGCGACTACAAACTCACACTCTGACTGAGCACGAAGTCCCACTGCCCCTTACCTACCTGCAAGAAGTTCTTCTGTCTGGCCTCCTCAAAGCCCACCTCCCAGTTCTGTCCCCTCAGCCTTCTGGCCTTCGGCAAGTTTCTCCTCTCACCCTGTCCACCCACACCACAGGCTTCGTCTGTGCCGTTCCCTCGGTCTGAGATGCTCTTCCCACCACTCCTCCCGCAGGCCACAGGGCAGTGGCGCTTCATCAGATCAGCCTTTGCGGCCTGTCAACTGGATAAACTCCCCGTATCCTCTGCTCTCCTTAATACCATTTGCAATTTTCTACTTCATACGTGTGATTTTGAGTTAGTCTCTCTCCCTAAGCATTTGAAGGCACTCAGAGAATACAGAAATAGAGAAAGAAACACTTCTGGGTTTGTTTCCCATTACAGCCCTCTCCTAGCCTCCACCACCACTGCTTCCTGGGTTTGGTTTACCACCAGCTGACCAGTGCTTAGGACTTTGTCGGGCCTGGAACAAGCACTAGATAAATATCTGTTGAATAAATAAATGAAAAAAGTAGTAACAGTTGGCATTTCCAGTATTTAGACCCAAGTCTGTCTAAATACATTTTTTCCCTACAATGTTGGCATTGTATGTTTTTTAACAATAGGAATACACAGTTTTTAAGTCTCTTCCTAGAAAGTTGTGACATTACCTGAACTTAGTGATTGACATATTAGGTACTCAATAAATACGTGAATGAATGAATCTATGGACAGTACAAATCAAGCCACAGTAGGCTTCGGCAAACAAAGTCACTAGGGGATGCAGTAGGAGAGTATTTTAAACGTGTGACTGCAGATCATGAGTACAGCACTTCTGATCACTGGCTATCAAAGGGGATTACATCCTAGCAGAACAGGTAGCCAGCAACGTGCAGCCCCGGACAAGCTTCAGGTGACCGACACAGGTTCTGGGTGCTGCACAGAATGGGAAGGAAAGAGAAGTCTCCCTTACAATGAAGGGATTCTGGATTCTGCAAACACACCAGCCAAATCGTAATGGATGAATCATAATGGAAATAACACGTCATTTTGCAGATGATCTAAAACCGCCAAATTCAAATACTTTGAAAGGAAACTGACAGAAATCGTTAGGTCTTCAGGTTAACTAAAACATGTTGTGAACAGGAGAGCTTCCCAAGGGCCTTCTGTCCTTGTGGTGGTGAATCCCAGGACGCAGCCCGATGCATGACGCAGACCGGGCACGCAGCAAACACCGAGGGAGTGAGTGGACCCACCACGTGGACTCCGCAGCTCTCCACCTCCTTCCCTACTGGCTGAACGTACGGCAAATTCCTGATAAATTCTTATCCAATGGGATAAACACTAATCATGGGATATACTCCAAATATTGAACAATTTATCCTCTCTGAGCCTCACTTTTCCTCTTCTGAGTAGGACTGAGTTTCCACAATAAAGAGTCTATAGTAGAGGTTCTCATAATGTAGCCATTTATAAATTAACTGGTGCCTTTTCTTCTTTAAAAAAGATACACTCATTTCAAATGTTTAAACCATAACAATATTCGAATGTCATGAAACAGATTTCTCTTCTACGTCATATGATAAAGCCAAAAAAGAGAACTTTGAATCAGACTTCACAGAGTATGAAGTCACTTGAGAAACATCTGAGAAATGAGTTACCCACATGATGCATGCAGTTATCTCCGTGCCACAGAGCGTTTACTCAGAGTGGAACTCACACCTGGAGACAAGCGCATCCTGCAAAGGGCAATGGTCTAGAGAGCACATTCTGGGAACAAACACACTGAAGCAAAAACAAGATGGATTGTATACTGTACTTTAGCAAAGAACTTGATTTCTTGCTCATAAGGGAAATGTTCTCCTTTGCTTCTGCTGCCACCATCTGTGGACATGAAGAGTTTTAGGATCACGTTGCACTTCAAAAATCACAAGACATTCACTCACCCCAATGCACCGCTTAGGGCACACCGCTATGCGTGCTATCCCACTAAACTGAACATAAAAACACAGAGGTTAACTTCAGCAGTGTGATTAAAGAAAGATTACAAAATATCCAAATCAAAATAAAAAAGCTCTTGAGACAGCCCACACGTGGCTGTGAGCACAACCGTCCTGTGTAGCTCTGAGATCTGACTGACATGCAGGGGGAAAACTGGAATAAAGCAAAATCCCACCTTCTCCGCAGTCAAATCTCACACCGTCTTTCAGTTAGAAAGGAGCCCACTGGGCTGGGAAAGGTGAGTGTAAGGTAAGTAAGCATAATTTTAGATTTGAACACTGGCCTCTAATAAAGACAGTTACTTCTTGGTGTGACTGAAAGTTCAAGCTTTCAGTATTAATAGACCAACGGAAAAATTGCAGGAAGCCAGCGCCTGTGGCAAGAGCAAGG